TTCGTAGTGGCGTTTGAATGCGATGTGGCCTATACAATGACTTGCGGGGGCCAGCCGATGTTCAAGTCAGTGTTTTTATCCTCCCAGACAAGTCTGGTACCAATTAACCGACCCCGGAGGGATGGAAGGCTTGGTTGGCCCGGGCGACTCACGACCCAGGATTTGATCCCCGGACCGCTCGCGTGGTAAGCGTGCCACTTGCCACTACACCACTTCTCCATGGAAAAGGTCACCGGCGGCGCGGACGCGTTCGCGTGTTGGTGACGTCACAACGGCGGCGAGACAGCGAGCAAGGGCCAGCTTTTCCACCATTACTTCAATACATTAAGTACTCCGAGCATCTACTGTACTCTTACTTCACTATGTGATTAGTAGAAGTAAGCAGGAATCGAACACTAAGTAAGAACACTCAGGTTATTCAAATTACTGACAATGTACACCTAAGCGTTTCCACAAGAAAGCTCTAGACTTTCTCTACATTTTCAAGAAATTTTCAGTTCTAAGGCAAGGATGGTGCCTAAACAGTGATACAATCATTTCTCTCGCGGCACAACTGATTCAACAAGTTGGTATAGTGCCAAAAGCCCAGCTTTATTCAAGCAAAGTGGCAGCGGCGCTGGCCACTGCTCGCCCTTCCTTCGAATCTGCCGCAGCTGTGACGTCATTTTGACGTCACCAGCACGCGAACGCGTCCGCGCCGCCGGTGACCTTTTCTCTCCCCCCCCAATCCACCTCCGCCACCAAACTCAGGAAGTTAGTCTTTCCAAATCCACTAAAGAACTAATTCAAACCATATCGAGCATAAGGGAGGCGCTGAGCCCTGACTGCTTGTCGGAAAAGGCTGGAAACATAGCTAACTAATTTTTTCACAAGTTCTTCAGAACAGAAAAACTCCTCAAATTTTCACTATTTCATCACCGCGTGATATTGCCAACTGAGACCTCGCGGGACAAAGCTATAAACTGAACATGTACATAGAATAGGTTGATCTTTGACTGAGCAAGCCCTCCCTTTGTCAGAAACAACCACTTTTTGCCCTACCTTACCTTGAAATAGTGTTAGGCTGAGAAAAAACTCCTAGTCTCCAGGCGGCTTGTATCGATAACCTTTGAAAAAACTCAGAATATGAGTTTCCAGTAACAACCAATCTGGAGTTGGAAAAAATACCAAGACCACCAAGAGGAATATAATCGAAATTATCAGAAGATACAGAAATGCACAGTAAATCCAGACGCATACCAGAATCTTCGTTCTACGCAAATCCCTACAGAACACACCAGAGTCATTGCAATCAAGGAGCAGGCATCCAGTTGTGTCGACCTCAGTCATATGGAACACTCTGAGTGGAAGTGTGAGGGACGAAACGCCGCCCAACCATGAACCCCATAAAAATAGTCGACGTTTGGTACAGATAAAACGCTCACGTACCTGTGCCGCATTGAGCCCGCACGTTTCTCGAAGTACACGTCCTTGTTCCATTGTGACAGCCATGCCTGTTCGGTCTTTTCCACTTTTGCAGCAAATGACAGCGTGGCCATCCAGCAACTCGCATGCTGTCATTGCCCACTCGAAGATTGCGAGATTTTTTCGGGAAGGCTCACTTGCTACCTCAAACGCAACTGTTCATTCATTTGCCGTGTACATTCACCAGAATAATTGAGAGTAATAATTCCAGTCGGGATAATTCTGAGCACATCCCATCGCATTCATTCTATAGCCGTCAGCTGGGTTCCCCATCTTTCGTTTCCTTACTGTTATCTTTTTCCTAATCTTAAACCTCCAGCCTGCCTAACCCTATAATAGTAACTCGAAAGTAGAAAGTCGATAGCACAATTTGTGCACACCTAAAAGTAATGATGAAACTTGAAGCGTACCAATGTTCACTGGCAAATTACCGTCGTGACACTTGCTAAAGATGACCAGCCGTCTACAGATCGGCTGACATCAACACATTCTTAGCTGGCTGAAAATAGGGTCTGGCCACCTCTGTTTAAGCCTCAGCCCAGGACTAGCTCTGGTGAGAGGATTGGGATAAGTAGAAGTCTACACTTGTGGATGATCAGCGCATATAGAAGCATCGCGGTACCACAGCCGTGAAATTGTAGCGCAATGTAAGCCTCTGTAGCTCCGGTTTTTGCATATACAAAATGTATGCGCATGTATACCACAGCTCTTCAAGCAAAGAGTGGACGAAATTGCTTTTCTATGTTTCCCATGACTAACACTAACTTCAAAAAAGCGGTGATTAATTTGAAAATAAAGTGCAAACAATGATTAAGCAAATGGAAGAAGTTGGTCACGAACCACATTCACGAGCTCCATCGCTGCGTCGCGTGCGCTCTGGTCAGCTGTATAGCGATTCGAATAGGACAAAATCCTTTCAGCACCTTCTTGATTGATCGCGGTTTCCAGTATCACACCGCCAAAAGATTGTCCAAGAGTAGCTTCGTAATTCACCTGTGCCGAAATGAAGCTTTCAACAATGTTACCATCAATAGCTATCCGAACATACTCCGACGTTGAAAAATGCGGCACGGATTACTATTGACTTTCGGGCCTTCAATTCTGAAGGAATGGCGTCGTAGATGTCGTGAGGTAATGGTATTGACACCTGAAAGTGAGCACAGCTAATAAACTTTAAGCATTCTATTGGATCCTACGTGCGCAATGTTTGCTTAGAACTTTACGAACTCATGGCCCTTCCCTCAGCGAGAATGGAGTAAGCCTTTTTCCTTGAATTGTGTGCGAGCTTTTGTTTCCACAGAAACGAATAGAATCTTAGATTCCATGAATGTTAACTGGAAATTTCAAGCATCGCACGTATGCAGCAACATACATTTATTCCTGTCCGATGACCAGAGACGAGTGGTATACAGGTGCGAGACACTTGCGAAGGTGCTCGTACCAGCGTGAAGACTACCCGCGCCTCAAGTTGTCGCCAAGCCTCCCACGCATCTTCAGCCATTCCTCTCTCATCGCCATAGGCAGAAAGGAATGAAAACACTGTCAGGAGAAGATCTTTAGCATACCCTGAAAAACGTCCTAAACATCGCATCAATAATCGAAATAAAGTCTTTTTGGGAATTATGGAACAGCGAAACAATATACATGATTATTTGGTCATTGAGAAGCACTTGCTGGGATAACGCGACCCGATCTTAATCAATTTTCACGTTCACCACGACGAAATCATCCAGGGAGACACTCAAAAGTATTGAAATCCGCAATTTTTTTCATGCCTATAATTGTTTATTTACACAAAGATCTTTTTCATAGAAACGGTTGGTTCTTTGTAAAAAAAAACAGACAAGCTTCGCTCGTATAACTTCGTATGTCCAGGTTTCTACTTTATCCTATGCCAGGAAACAAAAGTAAGCAGCTTTTGTGCGATCTATCAAACTACACTCACTCCAGGCTACATTCTGACTTGACATAGGGCTCAAAAATGGCAAACAGCAGTTGATATAACCACTAGCTTGAAACGCTTGCTTATAGCTGTTGAAAAAGAAAAAGTAATAGGATGGGAAAATCCCAAATAAACATGGGGCGCAGCATAAGTTGCTAAATTGTTTTTGTCTAATATTAGATCACTGGTTAAAAATGCTGATTCTTTAGTGGCATTCATGTGTAAAGAGACTTTCGACCTTGCGGTGTTGAAGCGAGACATGGTTAAATACTAAAATCGATGCAAGTCCTTTGCTGGACGTTTTAGCAACACGCTATATGGTATTCAGATGCGACAGGTATAACAAGAAAGGAGGTGGTGTTGCAATTATAGTGAAAGATCTTCATCCCGTAAGTGTGACTTTTTCTGAATCTGTAAAGGATGCCTATGAAGTTTTGGCATGTGATATTTGGTTTTACTCGTTGCAACTTAGAGTTATAGCTGTCTATAGGGCTCCGTCATGTTCTTCTGGAAAAACTGATCAACTTGTCAAAGCCATCAGTGATTTGTGTACGTGTGACCATAGCTGTATAGTTGCTGGGGATTTTAATGCTTAATCATAGTTTCGTTGTCCAAGATTCTCAAGGTGACGCTTCGTATTGTGGCAAAATTATGCGAATTATTCAGAACCATGGATTTGATCCAAAAAGTCTCTTTCCCTACTAGACATAATTCGGTGCTGGATTTGCTTTTGTGCAATGATCGTTCTCTTATTCGAGATGTTCGCAAGTCCCCACCTCTAGGTAATAGTGATCATTGTGTTGTTAAATTTTGTATGTCCTCTAATGGAATAATGGAAAATTACACTTGGCGTAGAGATTTCAAAAACGCTAATTTCAATGCTATGAGGGCTTACTTGAGGAATATTGACTGGTTTGGTTCTTTTAATACTGTCTCAGGAGTAAATGAAAAATATGACATGTTCGTGAGTATACTTCATCATGCTATGGACATGTTTATTCCTTACCGACTCAGTCCACAGAGATCCAAACTTATTCTGCCTGGCTATTTAACTTCTATGGAGAGAGCAGGCAGACTGGAATAGGCGGTTTTTCTCTCAGTCTTCGGTTGATTGGGCAGCTTTTCAGGCTTTCAACAGAAAGTGGACCACAAAGCTTGCTAAGTATAAAGCATATGTAGAGAAGAAAAAGTTGACCAAGGGAGGTTTAAAGGCGCTGTATTCTCTCTTGAAAGATCGGCTCACTGAGAAACAAAATGTCGGGATTTTAATGACAATAATTCCAAAGGCGATAAACGGATTATGATAAGGCGAAGCTGAATAGCGATGTTTGAAAGCGTTTCGGTGTTTTGACTTCGGACTCAGCTCATAACATTGGTTCTTCTAAGGTGGATCCGATGACTCTGCGCCTTGGTTTGATAAAAACATTATTTGAAGTCCTGGAGAAATGGTCATCAGCGGCCGCGATCAATAGTGAAGATATTCCATTTGTAGTTATAAAAAATTGCATCTATGAAATCAGTGGGCCCCTCGAGTTTCTGTTCAACTTGAGTCTCATGCGCGGGGAAGTTCCCTGTAAATGGAAACACGCTATAGTTTTACGCTTCCTAAGAAATCGCCTTACTCGGATCCAAACAATTATAGGCCTGTTAGTTTAACTTCCATTTTTGCTAGGGTATTCGAAAAAGTGATCAAAAAGTATCTGGTATCGCATTTAGAGAAACACAGTATTATTCCCCCTTCGCATCATGGTTTTTGTTCAGGTAGATCTGTGGAAACTTCGGTATTACATTGTATGAATGCTTGGACAAAGGCGATGGAAGCTAGAGAAAATGTTGATGTAGTCTATCTAGACTTTAGTAAAGCATTCGATAGGCTGTCACACAAGGTATTGATTCGCAAGCTAAACCATATTGGTGTTCACCGACTAATATTAAATTGGATTGAAGATTTTCTTAAGAACAGAACGTTTCAAGTTTTGGTAGGCGATGCATTGTCGACTGTTCGAGTGGCTTGCAGCGGTGTGCCTCAGGGTGGAGTATTGTCTCCGGTATTATTCAACATCTTCACTGCTGACCTCCCTCACATTTTCCAGGATATTGGTGTATCTTGCAACATCTATGCGGACGACATTAAGTTGTACAAAGTTGTAGAAGACAAGGATAATGATGCATTACTGCAATTGGCTATGGACAGGACTGCGAGCTGGGTTAAAGAAAACGGCCTTACGCTATCTATTGAAAAAACTCAGGTCATGCGGATAGGTGCACATATATATGAACCTGCCTATACAGTGGATAACGTTGTCCTCAAACATGTATCTGAAGTTCGCGACTTGGGTGAACATGTATCTAAAGTTCGCGTCTTGGTTTTCACTATGACTACAAGTTGAACTTCAGTAAGCATTACAAATCATTGGTGGCTAAAGGTCTCAGAAGGACTTTTAATCTATTTAAAGCCCTACGGACAAAAGATCCATGTACTTTGCTACGTGCCTATAAAATTTACGTAAGGCCTATTGTAGGAGTGTGGAACTACGCGGGGGATAATTCAATCCATATTTGAAAAGGGACATCAAGCTCTCGAAAGTGTTCAAAACAACTTCACTCGAAAGCTAATGATTAGGTGTACGGGTCTGAATTATTCCACCATACCAAGAGGGCCACTTAGGAATGTTGAATATGGTTTAAAGTCGTTGGAATGGAGAAGATTAAGGTATGACTTGCTCATGACTTTCAAAATTCTAAGGAGCCTTGTTAACTTGGACGCATCTGAATTTTTCCAAGTGCTGCCGTGCAGCAGAAGAGTGCATCGATTAGGCTGACAACGTCTTTTGCTAGAAACCGATGCAGGTCGAACTTCTTTAGCAATAGAGTGCGTTCTTATTTTAATCGTATTTTACGCTCCAATTTGTTCTCTTTGAAATATGTTACGTTTAAGAAAAGCATTGGTGAGATGATTTGAGTTGAGGCGGTTTTTGTTGCTTGGTTGTTGTTTCTGCTACTGTCTTTATTTGAGTTGTTCCGTTACATGTGTATGTCGTATGTCAATACAATATAATAAAGTTAAAAAATAAAGTGCAATTAATAACTTACACAAACGAAACCATCAGCAATGGGCCAGCCTCGATAGACGGTATTGAGAACAGCCGTAGCAGCGATGGTGATTGCTTGGGATAGAATAAAGTCAGATCGTAGCTGCACGTGAAAATAGAGATGGGACGTCGAGCTCTTGTGGGTTTCTACCACTGTAAAGCAGACATAGTACCACATTCTTATGACCGATGCCGAACTTGTTCTGCCAAAAATCAGTGTTAGTGCGCCAACCTAGACCGAACAGCTGTGATTCCAAAACAGAGTCTGCCAGTGCTAGTAACATATCGAAGCAGAGACAAATAGCTTCTCGTACAGTCTTTTCGTAGATTTCACTTTTACCCTGTAATGCACATGCCGAATAAATGTAATGCGTAAGCCGAAGAAAGCTAACGTGACTTTTGAGATAAGTTTACCTGCTCTTCGTTGATTTTATCCATAACGGCCACTTTCGTAGTCAGACTTATCACCATGGCATCAATCGTATCCATCTGGTTTTGGAGTGTATCCGGTATCCGCCGATCAATCTAAAACGAGCTAAATGACCTGACAAAAGCAGTCCCGGTCATGGCACATACATTTTGACCCAGGGACACTCTTCGATTCTCCTCGTCAGCAAGAATTTCAGCGTATTCATCCAGCTCTGCTATGCTGTCGGCGATATCCTTGAAACGTTCAAAAACCTGCAAAGCCCTAGTTCAATTACACGGTAGAACACTAAATTCATTACTCACACTTCTGATACCAGAAGCAATATCAGAGCTGAGCTTTGCTCGCTTTTCAAAATTCCCATCATTCCATTCAGCATCCAGTCTGAAAATTGTAAACCGTGAACTCTAAGAAGCGGATTAGAGACACAATTTACCTGCGATTCAGTTGTCCGACGTACTTCTTGAGGTCGGCCAAAAAGAACCGCCTTGACCAGAAAGGGAAATCATGGAACATTCTGTCAATTTCCAGCAATGTAGCGATTCGAGAGAGGCCACCGTGCTAAGCTTTCAAAACATAAGAGTATGCGAGCTATCTGGACTGCTCCAAAATGCCCACTAACGTAAAAAACGGATCAATTCATCTTTTCTACCTGGAAGCGGAGAGGTAAAGCAGAAGTGGTACCACAGCTCAAAACCTCTCGAGTAACCCTATTATCGACTGTAGATTGATGGACATGAAGGTTAGTCGGGACAGGCGCAAACGCAACACGATGCTTTTCTGTTGATTTGCGGAACGAAGGACCCTAGAATGCTATGCTCAATGGGAAGAAGAAGGCATTAAAGGATAGGTTAACAAAAAGG